TTATTTTTTATCAATAAAAATGTATATTAATCATTATAATATTGATATAATGATAAGATACTAGTGCAGCGACGAAGGAATGGCATCCTTGGTGGTCATTATTGATCTATGATAGCAATGATGATTGTTGAAAGTTGAGTGATGAATTACAATGATGAAGACTATAATGATGAAAATTTTAAAAAGAGATTGAATTGATGTAATATTTAAATCACTACTAGAAAAACCTCCTTTAATGACGCTCATTGCACGTTATCTATGGGTGCAGATGACAGAAATGCGCGTAATTGAAACCACCGACATAAATCTCAGATGACACGCAATTATGTGTCATAAATCTATGACGAGCATTTATGACACGCATTTATAACACACATTTATGACGCGCATTGAGCGTCATTGAAGCTCCCATCATAAATAAAGATGACACACATTTGATTGTCATAAATTAATGAAACGCATGTATGACTTACATTGTGTGTCATTGAAGCCCTCGTCATACATGAGATGACACACATTTGTGGGAATTTATCAGTATATGCACTCAGTTGCTTTCCCATAATTATCAGTATAAATAAAAGAAATTAAGCACCTTTTATTTAAACATAATCAATATAACATAAGAAACATGATAATTGTGGGGATTTACAATGTAAAAGGGGCAATGCATCCAACTGGTAGTTGCAAATCAAAGAAAGCCATATGGCTTCAAATTAGATCGTCATTGTTCTTAGACTCTTGGAACATAGAAACATGGTCCAATATTTTACAATAAGAATATGATGGCTAAATAGAACAGGACATGGTATCATTTAGCTTGAAGGATTTTGTTACTACATCAATTCTCATGTTTCTGGGAGTGAAGAAACCTAGAATCCTTCTTATCGTCTCCTCATCACATAACTCATAGATAGTCTCCAAAGATAACATGTTCTGGTGGATAAACAAGCAAAATTTATGCAACAAAGAAACAAAAGTAATAGTAATAGAATGCAGCAACAAATACCAGAAATTAGAAATAAATATAGCTTCCTAGTTATATTTATCAAAAACAACATTAAATATCCATTCTTGAGGGGAAAGTTGACGCAATAATTTAAGATATTGATAAATATAATCAATGATGTCAAATATCTGCAAGGAAAAAGTGAAACACCATTAACAATTGTGGCTAAAAAACACAAAATTCGTGAAGCAACCTTAAAAAATATAAGCACATACAATATAGAAACAAAAATACAAAAACAATCACAGTAGCAGTAATTGACTAGGTACATTTTATTATAAAATTGAGCTGCCAATTACAGAAACACAATGAGAAGATAAAGAAAACCAATATCCTCCTAGAAATTTGAGATGATTTTTTCATGTTCATTTGAATGGAACTATATTTAATACCACATAAAATGAAAAACACTAAAGAAGTTTTAGCCACTCTTATTTGCTTAGAAGATGAAACAACATATGCTACCTTTTCCAAACCACAATCTGTAAGATGAATGGACATGCTAAATATATAAGCTACAGAAGATCACTTCATTCCATCATCTGAAACACCGACATATAGAGAGGTTATTCATCCCTTAGCTTTAAGAAAATAATGCAGGTTTCCTTTGCCCTCTAGAAAAAGATGAGAGAAGAAGATATTACATTTGTGCTTTAGTACACATGACAAAACATATACAATATCATGGTTTAAGCAGCAAAAAAATTTCTCAATGAATAAACCAGAAACTAAGATATAAGCATTGTTTATCTCTTATATGGTTTTAAACAAGAAGGGAATAGTAGCAATCATATTAATTTCAGGGTATTAAAATCTGATATAAGCATAATAGTAGTACTAGTAGTAGTTAAGCATATTGAATAAACTTGAGAGGTTAAGCATTGGAAATTGAAGCAAATGAAAAACACTATCTACATTTCACATACTAATCAAGAATCACTTATCATTTATAAGGCATCAAAGCTGTGGACCGTTCACATTTTCTTCATATATGCATATGCATCCTTTTTTTGTTATTATTACTTCCGTGAGCAACCTCCTACTTAATTATTAGGATAATGCATAATTATATACCATCACCAAGAAGATGAGCCAAATAATCTTTTGGTTTCTTCATATACTCTTGCAAAAGACAAGGTAGTGCCTAGCTTAACTCAAGGATATGGACATCCTTCACTGCCTCCAACCTATAAAGTTTTCCAGCTTTCTAGATAAGACTTTCCACCTTAAACTCTGGCTTCCCTTGAGAACCTTGTTTGACACCCGAAAACAATTCAACAACCCATTGCTGAAGTACATCCAAAGGCTCTACACCATCAACAAGTATTATCACGAGTACACTATTTTAGTAATGTAGACAAATATTTTAGACATTAATGACACCATAAATTTCTTCCAATAGCCACATGTATAATAATTATTGAAATTCCTTCAAAAATTACAATTAATGCTTATATATGATATGTTTAAGCGTTTTATGGACATTTTATAAAGTTCATAATCAGCGATCTAAATTTGAATAAGACCAAATGGGTAAGAAAAATAAAAAAATTCATGGAAATGGGGAAAAAAAAGGCAGTGAAAATAAATGTGATCATTGTTCAAAGCACTTTTTCCAGCAGAGACTAGCAATAGAGAGAGGCTAAACGATGGCCACAAATCTAGAGAACCATAAAAGAGTAACTTACCACCACCAATTACTACTAACTTCATCAGTCCACCATGGTAATAATCTTTATACAGTTCTAGTATTTGTTTGATAAGATCAAACCCTCTCTCGACAGCATCAACCAGGCTCTTCTTGTTTCCTGCCATTTAAGAAAACTGAAATTCCCATTTTCATACCAGTAGACATAAACAAATCATTCAAAAAGTGAACAACAATGACAAGGATCTCACCCCAAAAGAATCTATTAAAAGGGTTATTGTGTTCATATGTATGGCACTGGAGTTGCTAAGGCGACAAATATCATTATGCAAAACCTGGTTAAATTCTACAATTCCATTTTGGTAGAAATTAGAGTTCCACTCAGAAATCATGAATCAGTACGGGTAACAACAAGTGTAAACTAGAAAGAGAACAAATTTCCTATATTTAGAAGAAGAAAAAACAGAGAAGGGGGATGCATGAAAACATATAATAGACAGAGATCCATGGGGCAAACCAGAATCCACGGCAAGCACCTCTCGATCCATTGCTTTAAATTTTACAAGGGGTGAAATAAAAAATTGAGAGATTCTGATAAAGACAAAAGACCAACATAAGGATCAAATTCAGACGATTTGGGGAACCAATATATAAAACAAAGATCAAATTATTACTCCATTAAAAATTTCTATAACAAAGCTCGAATCGAGAAATAGAAAGGAAGTGGAAAAAGTAATTCAACAACTAAAGCTCCTCCCTTTTATAGTTTGATCATTTACCTTCTCAAAGTACCCTTGAGAAATTCTTTTTCAACTTCAAAATGATAACATGTTTGCTCAACTTCTGAATATGCATTTGATGAGCCTCCGTGTTTGGATAAGTAACTATCATACTAGCAAAGAAGAGTGTCAATGTTGGTAGGACAAATAATTATAACATAATCAAATAATAAACGCACTGTTTAGATGTAGGCCAAGAAATAATGCACTGTTCAAATTAACAATAGAAGAAGCTAGTAAATAAAAATATTTTCTTGTGGATATCAAGAATAGTAGTAGGAAAGAACATGGATGAATAAACCTCGTTTTCATCAGGAAGTTCAGTACTCCCCATGAATAGCATATGTTCTACGATAAAATAAAGAAAATTCACGAATATTAAGCAGAGAAGAAATTAGTGCAGTTGAGCAGAATGAATAGAACTGAAAGTAACGAAACCTAGAAAATGAGTGAGACCCTACGCTTCAGGAGGGTCAGAAAAGCTGCCAAATCCTACGCTCAATGCTGCCGCTGCCTACAACCAAATTCACAATCGATGAATCAATCTAATGTCAGGACTTCAATCAATATAAGAAATGGAGAAGACAAACCTTTTTAGACTGAACGACCTTCTCTTCAATCTGTTTCTCATCGTCAGTGTCCTCTTCTTCTTCGTCATATCCATCCTCATCTCAATTTCCATCATCATCTTCATCTTCATCTTCGCCATCATATTCAGTTCCACCTTCAGTCTTAGCCTTATCTAGCAAATGAGAACCTTCAGGAAGTCTGTCGGGGTAAATCTGGGGATCGTGGACCAGCAAAGCGACGAGGCCATTGTTGAGCTCGATTAACCTGTAGAGTCGGCGGTCGTGAATAGAGAACGAGGAACACTTGTGGAAACCCTTGAATTTTGACTCCCTTCGTCTGCGTTGTGGTGAATGGTGAAACCAGTGGACTGATGCAAAGAGAAAAAGGGAGGAAGCATGCGGCGTGAACTGATTATCGAGGGGGGAAGAAGCGGGAAAGGATGAAAATAATGGGGGAAATTAAAAGACGACTTTTACAGATGACACACAATTAAAAGTGTACTCCGTGTTTTTGCAAATTTTTTAGATTATGACTATTAAATATGACACACATTATTGTAAGTCATAAATCGTTTAGATTTTAAAAAACATGACATTTTTTTTATGACACACATTTTTTGTAAATCATAAATTAGCGTGTGTCATCGTTCGTGTGTCATTTAAGGTATATTTTCTTGTAGTGAATGTTGAAGGTTTATTTTTAGAATTAATATTAAATTATAGCAATGGATTTATTGATTAATTCATATTGTACATTACATAGATTTATTTACAAAGGTGATTCTTCAAACTCGTATTGCAATATTCATGTAGTCTTTGAATTTTAACCATATTTAAGAGACATAACGTTTCATCTTACTAATCTAACCAATAATTAATAATGAGTAATTTTTTTATCATAGTGTTTATAAGTGTTCACCTTCCCATTTCTTTACAATGTTTATGATAAAAATTTTAAGATACAATGGATCTTAACAAAACAATATAGGGGGTATTATTTGTCCAAATAAATACAAAAGTATCAATGTGAGAAATAGAGGGAAAATCCTTAGGAACCCAAAGCATAAAAATGAAAATTAAAAATGCATATAATTTTGAAGACAAGTCGGCTACATGCCCTGCTCGGCGAGATAATCACCCAACCTCTCGACGGCCATGTTGCATTGTCCCGGAGTCACCGGCTCTTCGTATATGCCTAGAACAAGAGGTTGTCCTGTTTTTCTAATAGTGATCCCTCCTGGTCCCTGCCCATATCCAAATACACAATTTTAAATGTGTTAATGGTTTGGACTTAAATGTAACGTTAACAACAATAAGGGGACTAAATGTAATATTAATATCGTTGATGAAAAAAAGTTGATAAGATTTTTGAAGGTTTATCTCCTTCGATTTAGATGGAAGTACGTTGTGAGTGGTGCAATGGCTTAAAGAAGTTAACGAATAGTATCAAGAGAGATACAAAGAGAATTTTTTTCTCTTTCTTCGTCTAATTATATGGTTATATATATATATATATATTGATCGTTAGTGTTGATGTTAAATTTGGGTGACGGTGTCTATAGGTTGATCTGATAAATAAATACGATTATCGAATAATAGATTTAGCTTTGACATATCATGTAAATATGTCAACAATATTATCAAGAGATTGTAACTATTTGAAAAATATAAAACTCTAAAAATTTTAAAAACTTTAATAAGTGAAAATATGACAAAATAATGATTATTTTGAGAGGAGATGTGAAGAAGGTAGAATAAATAACAAACATGAGTTAGTTTATTTTAAAGCATGGATTACCTTTTTGCCACGAATGACAGCACCGGGCTCACCCTGGATCACCATATACTTTGAGCCACCAAGGTGGCCCGGTTCATCCAAATCTTTCATTATGTCCGATACCTCACTAGCCTTCAACTGCAAAAAACAAGTCAATAAAAATTCAGATCAAATAATAGGGTTTCAAAAACAACAATACCTCGGGGAAGTTAGAACTCTTAGCCCAGACGCTGCCATCATGGCCAACGATGGCGGCGGCAGTAAGGTGTTGGCCTTGTTGCCTCTCGATTTCACACATCAAGTGCTGATCTACGTAGTTTTGCCACGACATTCTTTCGTATATGTTACCAAGAAATGTTGGGATTATGGGAGAAATTTCGAGCTTGATAAATAAGGCAAGGGAAAGGTTTTAACAGAAGGTGATTTGGTGATTTTTCTTAGCCGTCTGTTTCGCAACTTTCCATTGCTTCCATTCACGTCCTCCTCCATTTTAGCATGGCCATGCAAAACCCTATGCGTGCATGCTTGTTTTCCCTCTAATTCAGGTTTTGATCCCTCCGGCATAATCAGTGGCGGAGCAACCGCTTGGTCAAGGTGGGCACAAATTTTATTCGATTAATTACTTATTTTACTGATGATGCCTATCCTAAAATTTTCCGTGCTGAAATTTGAGTTTTCTTCGATTAGTTACTTATTATACGTACGATGCCCATTCTGAAATTTTATTTATATCCATCCCATTTAAAAATTTTATGTTGTTAACATATATGTGTCCACTCGAAAAATATTTTTGGATCAACCACTAATCATAATTCCGAAATTTAATATCTAATCCCTATAATTTTTTGGTATCTTTCATGTCCATTTTATTATCTATGCAGTGTAATAATCGTAATATAATAATTTTTTAAATCATTGTCATATCGTAATTGCATCTATAATTTAAAAATATAATTATTATTAGAAAAACAAATTATATCGTAACACTTGTTGTCGTGATATCACAATCACATTCGCAATTTAGTATACGCTGATCAACGAGATACATATTGATCGAGTGCTTATATTATCTTTTAAAAGAAAACAATTATAGGAATAGAGGATCAGAATGTGTTAATTCTTAAATTTTAGTATAGTGGAGGGACTCAAACTATAATTAAACCAGAAAAAATTTATTACAACGTGGCGACAGCCTCTTCCCAACTGTCATGATCCCTCGTTTAGATTCAAAACCGTTTTTAAATTACTTTTTATTTAAGAATATAAAGATTATGAACATTTTAAATATTTACTTATAATGTAACATTAAATTATTATTATTATTATTATATGAACTAACTAATATACTAATTTTTATAATTAGATTTATCAATAATCAGCCCATTAAAATCAATAATTAAGAATATATGTATTATTCTTTTATGTTAATATGTCTTTGTACATTAAATTTTTTACTTTTGTAGTGTACCCTTTTGATATTGAATTTCTTTTTTGGATAAATGGTATTCATTCAATCCAAAGAAATCCAAGCAGCAAGCTGCTACACCAACAAATCAACCAATTAACAAATCAAAACAAAACAACCACTACTCTACGCACTCTTCTGCCTCTCCTTCCTAGTATGTTTCACCTGCACAATTTCCTTAATATAAGCAAGTATATCCCCTCATTTCTATACAATTTTTTAAAAGTCATTATATTCCTCTCATCCAAATAAAATATAAAAAAAACATTCCAAGCAATTTTACATATAAATGAAGAAATGGAATTACCCCTCCCTCTTGAGAACATCCACTGTACCTCACCCTCCCAACCAAAGTTCTCACACCTCACTCCCCACCACTCCAAAATAGACGTCCAAACGCTCACTGAGAACCCACATTCAAAGAATATGTGATTTCTAGATTCCTCCTTCACACCACAAAAAAATACAAACACACTTCTGAACAATATCCATGCATCGTAACCTGTCTTTTGTAGCCAACCGATCCAGAAATGCCAACCAAGAAATGATAGCATGCTTAGGCACATGAAGCGGAAACCAAACCAGCTTATGCCAAAGAACAACTTCCCTTCTCTCCCTCAGCTCCTATCAAATCCATCGAGTCCGAACATGGTTCAAACCAGGAGCAGTCAATAAAGGCCAAGCAACCACCCTAAGGGAAAGAATCTTCCTTAAACTCCAGCTAATCCATGGCTTCGGGACATAACTCCACACATATGCTCCTTTAAGGGAAAAATACTGCACCTGAGCCACCCACAACGATCTATCATTATCCAAAAGTTTTCGAAGCAACTGAACAATGCAAGCCCGATTCCAAGATGTCATGTCCTTAAGATCCAAACCACTATCTGATTTGAGAGAGCTAACCCGATTCCAACTCACCTCTGCACCCGTTGCCAGGAGCATCCGAGCCCTTCCAAAAGAACCTCATGTAAAATTGCTCAACCCTCCTAATGACATAATTGGGCAAAACCAACTGGTGACACCAAAAATTAGATAAACTAAACAACATAGATAGAATTTATAATACCCTAATCCAGTTTGACCCACAGATCTATAGATTACAATGTTACATTGGACTACCGAAATAGTGACCCATAATTTTTCTTTAAAAACTGTTTAGAATCACTAGAAATAATCCATCCATAGAAATAAAAGTAAAACATGATAATATAGGTTTACAAATAATGGGGAGCTCTCAAAATACATCTCAAAATAATACAATACCAGATACAATCCAAGAATATGACTGAACACACATAAAGGTCTATAAATAGTACATACCCTCTAAAGATGACTCAAGACGTACGCTGATGGTCTTTGGAACCTGGTCTGCTACACTGGAATGTCTGGTGATGATAAGTCCCCGAGATCCACCCCTAAGAACTTATGCATGAAATACATTCCGAACGATGAGCGAGTGCCTCACTAATAAATGTACTATACTACATGCATTCAATAAATGTAATAATCAGTGGCATAAGTCTAAACATATAAACTACTAATTTAATTACTGAGTAGGCATCATGGTACGACTGAGGGTTCTATATCTTAGAGCTTACACACCACTCTAGCCTTTCTTAGATACCCTCAGGTATCTAGGGTAAGATCCAGAGTTGTATCAGAGACATACACCCGCCAACTTACTCTGTTGAGTCTTGGGGCATTTGCAACTAGTCAGCTACTAAAGTGCCTTGGCACTTACTTAGATATTCACTGGCAGTCGTATTTCTGCTATAGAGGAACTCGGGTGTCCTGACTATTTCTCTAACATCAAATAAGGCTAGTTTTATGAAATTCCTAAATATTACTATTCCCACGATTATAATATTAATTTATGTTATCATTTGAGTCTTATTTGTTGTTATACTGAAGTGTTTGGGTACCTCAGGACTAATCCCTCAAATTTTAAGTTATTTACCCAAAATAGACTGTTGGTATCGATACTGGCCCTTTAATATCGATACCCCTGACTCGGTCTTGATACTCTATGCAAGTATCGATATCAGAAAAGCCTACTAGAAAATGGGTCTCGATACCTAGCTAGTGAGTCTTAAGACCGAGACCTCGATATCGATACCCTTGACTCGGTATCAATACCACTTTCTATAAATCATGGGGTTTTTCCCAAACGAAGAACAATCTTGATACTGACCTTCCAATATCGAGACCCAAGCTACGAGGTGCACTGTTTTAGTAAAAAAATCATATCTTTCTAACACAAAACCCCTACAAAAGTCCTTAATTGATGTTTAAATGTTATGTATGATAATAGAGGTCATAAAGAATCCATCAACAATGTTGAAACACTTAAACACCAAAATATACAATGAACAAGCTCAAACTCATGCAACCTATCACATCTCATCTAAATTATCTACCCATGGTATAGATGAGTTAAGAGTGAGTTACCTGCTGATTATAAGTTCTTAGGAGTGTCCAAAGATCACCCCAAGGTGAGCTTTTCTTTCCTCGATTTATCAAGTCACTTCCTCAACACCATGGATCCTTCATAACACCTTTACTAAAAGAATCCTCTTGCTCATTAATTCCTTGATATTCCTTGCTAGGATTATGACTGGCTCCTCTTAATAGGTTATGTTTAGGCTAACTTCTATCTGCTCTAAGGGTATGTCATGTGATGGATCAAAACAGTATCTTCTGAGCATAGATACATGAAACACATTCTGAATGCACTCCAACTCTGGTGGTAAGGCTAACCTGTAAGCCTCTAGCCCGACTCTATTGAGTAACTCATAAAGTCCTATAAAGCATGAGGTCAACATTCCTTTTCACCCAAAGCGAATTACTTTCTTCCAAGGGGAAACCTTGAGGAACATTTTGTCCCCAACTACAAGCTCAATGTCCTTAAGCTTCAAATCTACATAAGACCTCTGTCTGTCTAAAACATCCTGAGCCGACTCTAAATAATCCAAACTTTCTCCTCAGTCTCCCTGATCAAGTCTGGGCCTACGATTTTACTCTCACTAAGTTTGGTCTAGCATATCGAAGTCTTACACTTATGCCCATACAATGCCTCATACGGAGCCATCTGAATGCTCGACTAGAAACTATTGTTGTAGGCAAACTCTCTCAAAAACCTTATAAATCGATAACGGTACACCTGAGTATGTCCTTTAGGATTTGGATTACTCGCTCTGACTGACTATCTATCTGAGGATGGAATGTTGTGCTGAAGTGTAGTTTGGTACCTAAGGATTCATGAAGGGATTTCCAAAAGGGAGAAATGAATCGAGGGTCTCTATCTGATATGATAGAGGTCGACACACCATGCAACCTCACTATCTCACTTATGTACAACTGAGTGAACCTCTCTAAGGTGTAGTCCATCCTAAACGAGAGAAAGTGTGATGGCTTGGTTAAGCGATCTACTGTGACCCAAACTACGTCATGTCTCGGTCTGATCATCGGTAACCCGATCACAAAGTCCATGGTTACCATGTCCTATTTCCACTTAGGAATCTGAATGGGCTAAAGCAAACCTGAGGGAACCTGGTGATTCGCTTTAACCTGCTGACACACTAGACATCTAGTGACGAACACTGACACTTGCCTTTTCATACCCGGCCAAAAGAACAATCGGTAAAGTTCCTTATACATTTTATTACTACCTGGGTATATTGAGAGTGGACTGAAATGTGCCTCATAGAGAATCTTACTGTATAACTGAGAATCTGTGGATACGCATAACCGACACTTGAAGTAAAACACTTTCATATCACGTAACTAAAATTCTAGGGCCTAGCCCTGACAGACCTACCCAATCCGGGTTCTCAACTGATCATCTACACTCTTAAGCGTCTTGGTTTCACCTAC